CTTCCAAATAGTCAAGCGAGCCAAGATGTGGTTTCCCAGCCCTTCTCCCAGGGTCCACTGACTCAGGGGTATATCTCCATGAGTCAGCCATCACAGATGAGTCAGCCTGGGCTCTCCCAACCCGAATTATCACAGGTAAGCAGGATTTGATGGACAGTGGGGTTTCTGTTGATGATTCCTGTGCATGCACATCCTTGTTTCCTAGCACTGAGGAAAATGGAAATTGAAACTATTTTCAACGACTCGTGCTCCTCCCCCTGGTGAACTTTACATACACTCAGGCATAAAGTGCAGTGCTGCCTGTCTAGACTTCAGCTCAAGCCTTAACTTTGCCCCACTTGCCTGTTCAGCCTCTGGCTATTGCAAACCCCTTTGTATTTATGGGAATTCTGCAGCAGAAAAGAGTAGATTTAAAAAAATCCCAATGCAGCCAAACAAAAATCCCTGCCCCAACCCCAAACCTCTGGGCTGCTGGGTCCTCTGCTTGCTGAGGGAGCACTTGGGCTGGGTGAGGAGGTAGAGGTTTAACGCTTGCTTTCGTTTTCAGGACAGTTACCTTGGTGATGAGTTTAAATCTCAGATTGACGTGGCGCTGTCACAGGACTCTACTTACCAGGGTGAACGTGCATATCAACATGGTGGAGTGACGGGACTGTCACAGTATTAGAGTGTAAGGCACCCGAGGATCATTCCTCTGCTTCTTCCTCCCTCTTAAAGTTCACGAACGCAGTGTTTGTCTTAGTGATGTCCCTAATGCAGCTTTTGCTCTCTTGCTTTCAGGTTGAGGAAGAAGAGCTAAGCTTGTGTGGAGCTTAGTTCATCAGCATTTTATTCTGGGTAATAAAAAAAATAAAATAAAATGGATACCTGTTTTCCACTGCTAAAACTGAAGCACCACTGTGTGAGAGCAACAGGAGAAAGAAACCAACCAACGGAGAGGAGAGAGAGAGAAAGGAGCGCGCGAGAGAGCCCACTGCTAAGCTCACTGAGACCAGGAGCCTGACCGGAGAGGAGAGAGCGCACTGAAGGACTGGCTGGCGCCTCACTGGGAAGCAACTCCCCTGAAATGAGTGGTCAGCCGAGTCCCTGCTCCCCCAGTCAACAAGCTCAAGAGAAGGGCCTTAAGCAGGTTTCACTTCATTCCATACTTCTCTTTGCGAGCAGGGCATTACTTTTCAGAGCAGATGGGGAGAGGAAAACCCTCATCTCAGAGTTGTTCTCGTTTTAAAGGGGTACTATTTTAGCAGTAACTGTTTACATTGTAGAAGCAGAGTATCTGAGAGAGAAAGAGAGAGAGTTCCTGACTCAGTGACAGCAAGCCGAGCAGAATCCAGCGGAACATGGCTGGTGCTCAACTCTGAGATGCAGGTTTTGTTGTCCAACACTGGCTCTGAAATCCTTAGTGTCATCGTGTCGCCCACATTCTGAACGGGTCTTTCGTGACAAGGTGGTTTTAAAGAGATCCTGTCAAAGGAGCACTGAATTTCTAGAAGTTTGTCTCTGAATCCTTAGTGGTGGACCTGGGGAGATGCTTGTTCTGAGAAGCTTACAAAAAGTTTAAACCAAAACTAAATTAGAGCACCAACCTTGAGAACTTTTCAGTGTGATTTAAAGTTGCAGCAATCAGCCTCTTCTTCCTACATTGGATAGCAGTTAGAGTGACAGGAGCCTGCGCGCTCAAGCGGGAGGAGGGTTTCAAAGTTTTCTGTATGCTTCAATTGGCAACTGTCTGGACTCTACTCTGTGAAAAACAGCCTTTCTGTAAGATGAATTTTGCGCTTGAAAGGGGATGGGTTCCTGTGCCCTTCGGCCTGGAGGAAAAGATGCTAACGGGCCTGCTTGACTCGCTCCCTCAGACCTGGGGAAGAGGTAGTGGAACCTGGGGATTATATTGGTTTTGAAGTAAAGACTCTACAATGTTAATGAAGCAGGTTGGGAAAATGGACAAAGCGGGCGGCTGTTGGAAGGTGGCCTCTGAGAGCTGGGTGGCATTAGAGATACTGGGTCAGGCTTTTTGTGGGGCTTCTTTGGTGCGGAACGCAGGTCGCTGACAGGTTCAGGTGTGAGAACCAAACCCGGAGCCATGGCCATGGCTGAGCCATCGACGCTGGCTTGAGGAGTAGCTGGAAGTCAGAACTGAAAACAGCACTTAAGAGAAGCCATCCAATTTCAGAGTTGTACCCATGTCTTAAACAAGTCCTATGGGAACACTGGGAGCATTTTAGTTCTGTCTAAACCTTTTTAAAAACAGGGCAGAGAATTGACAATAACCCCCAGCCCCATTTTTATCCAGTCCCCAAATGAGCCGAGCCTCTACCTCCCAATTGGCAACCAACAGTAGTGTGGGATTCACTAACCTGGGTGTTTTTAAAGTCTAAGTTAGCTTTATACTCAAAGGGCTCCGAGTGTTTCTAATCTCTTTTTTGGGGGGGGGGGGGGGGGGGAGGGCGGGGAGGGGGAACTCAAAATACCTCTCATCTGAATGTACTTAAATGACGTAAAAACCCACTTTTTGTAGCTGGGGGGAAGCCCTTTCATCACTGTCCTTTCTGTAGATCGTTGACCTGCTTTCATAACCTGTATTTGCTGTAGTTTTTCAGGAGTGTCTCTCCCCAGTGCAGACCTGGTGTAGCATCCCCACAACCCGTGAGTAGCGAGCACATAACCATGGAGCAGGTGTTCAGGGGGGGTTTTGTTCAGTCCTGCAGCGAGAACTGCAAAAGAAACTTTTCAGAAGTGAAACCCATTCTTTTCTCATCAAAAGCCTCCAGAGTTTAGACTCAACGTGAGCCCGGAGCCAGAGGCCACCTTCCTCCTGTGAGATGGACTCTTTTATTTATTAACATTGCCGAAGGGCTTTTTAATTTTCTTCCTCTGTAGGCTGCGTAGCTGCGTAGACGTTTCCGATAGGTTGAAGCTGTACCCTCTGTGCAATGCAATCCATTGACTACCGTCCCCCTTCCTCTCCCCTCACCCCCTTTATTTCACTGACGGGAATGCTTGCCTCTGCTTTGTGCTGGTTTTTCCTTTGTAGCAGTTACTCTGAGTTTTATAAATCCAGACATCAGTGCTAGCACGGTGTTAACTCTTTTGATTTTGTCTCAGTTTGTTTTAAACCTGTTTGTCATCAATAAAAATATTAATAAACAGCTCTTGCATTCGAGGTGGCCCCTAACTCTCAATGATGAAATCATGCAACGTTCATTAAAACTTAGTCTGATTGTATAAACCTCAAGTTTATTACTCGTTTTTAACACAGACTAGTACAAAAGTGGGGATGTGCAGAGCAAACACGGGTAAGCGATGAACTGTGACCACTCCTGTTAAATGCCCTCTCCCCTCCCCTCCTCTGGCTCAAGGGGGGCTGCTGTGAGCCCTGGGGTGGTCCAGGACTGTGTGTGAGGCGCAGGGGAGCCGCAGGTGTTACCAAAGGCTGAGGCTGGTTCCAGAGGTGAGCAGTCCCACCTGGAACGTCTCCCTCCTCCAGTGCATGTGGGAATGGTCTGGGAGCAGCTTCAGTGTTTGGGCTTCACCTTGTGTGTGAGCTCAGTGCAGCTACTCCAGGCCATCTCCATGTGTGGTTACTGTAACCCACCTCCTTATGGCTCTGATGGAGATGGACAGTTGCCATCCGTCAGGTTGTAGAACCAGGTAAGGAGCTGGCATTATTATGTTAAGTAAGCTGAGTCCTTCAGGCTGAGCCTGCCCCAGCACAGGTACAATACTTACTAAATGTGAAAGAAAGGGCTCCTGCTTGCCTTTGCCTTGGTCAAGTCCTACTCTTAAGCCCTTAAACCATTTGAGTGCTTGGAATGGGCTTCAGCATAGCTCTTGTTCAGCCACTGGGGTAAAGCAGAGTGGAGCTCTGGTCCTTTCTGCTACTCCAGAAAGAGTAGGGCATGAAAACATGGGCAAGCTACACAACTACAGTCCTGGAGCTACTCCTGGTTTGGGTTTCTGCTCCTCATGCCAGGGTGGTGACAGAAACCCCCTTGCAGGGGACAGCACCCCTCTTCCTCAGCAGCCCTAACAGTGGTTAAACCTGTAGTGCCTCCCTGCAGGGAAGGGAATACTGCAGCAGAGCAGGGAGGCAACACACGAACAAACCAAGCAGGAGCTGGGCTCTGGGCTCAGGTCCACATCTAAAGACAACGAATTCAAGTCTAACGTGGGTTCTGCTTCTCTTCCCCCCAGGCACCAAAGGAAAACTGAACCACAAATAACCTACAGTGGGGCATGACAGAGCGGGGCTGCCCTGGGCTGATGCTCGGCTGCTCTCGGGCTCCAGGCAAGGTTCAGGCAGGTCCCAGCACCCCGGTCTCATCACTTCACACAACGTGAGTTAAACCCGGATTCCCAGCAGGCTGGGAGGGAGCAACTCCCCCCCACACCTCAGCTCTGCCCCAGAGCATCACCTCCCACTGCTTCAACCCCATCCTCAGCCATGGGCTCCCGTGGCCACCCCAGTTCCCCCGGCAAGAGAACCCGGCGCTCCCCACTCCAGGCTCTGCCCTGCAGGAAGGGATTCAGTCACCTGGAGCCGCAGCTCCTGCAGCGACAACATTCCCTCTTCCTGCAGCAGGGCTGGAGCTGCTGCATCCCGTCCCCGGGGGCAGCACCAGCAGCAGTTCACTAAAACCACTCATTTCTGTTTGCACACATCTACAGCATTCAGCCAAAAAGCCGGAAAGCAGCAGCCCTGCGGCTGCGCGCTCCTCACCGGCACCAGCGGCAGCTCGGCCCAAGCACCAGGGGTCCGGGATTCCCAGCCTGATGCTGCCATCACCCGTGGAGAAGAGGGCATGGAACCAGCACCAGAGCCGATCATAACCCCGCAGGAGGTGCGGTGGAGCTGCACCAGCTCCTACTAAATCACCTCTAGCACCTACCCCTTAGTGCCCCCCCCCAAACTGCATATGGAGAAGGGTACCTCCAGTGGGAGGCTGCATCAACAGAAGGGCTGCACCAATGGGAAACTCCCTCAATACCAGCACAGGGGGGGGATTTAACACACTTGGATTTATTCCAGCACCCATCCACAGCTCCAGCTGGGCCTGCAGCACACACGCCGCTATCTGCAGCCGCACTCATCCACCACCATGTCCTCATAGTGCCTCAGCACCACGTTGTCGCTGTTATCGTAGTAGAGGATGGAGATGGGGGAGAGCCTGACGGGGACACAGCAGGGCTGGGGGGTCCCCTCGGGGTCCAGCGAGTGCACCATGGTCTGCAGGATGGCGTGGTTGGTGCTGTTGAGCTCGGCGGTCAGCGGGAAGGGGCACTCGCCCAGGCAGTAGTTGGCCAGGTAGCCCTGGGGGGCGATGATCCAGTTCTCCCAGCCGACGTCGCTGAAGCTGATGTAGAGCCGCCGGGGCTTGCAGAGGCTGCTGGGGGTGATGGGAGGGTGCTGAGCGCTCCTCCTCCTCCTGGAACCTCTGCACTGCTGCTGGCTGAGGGTCACCACCAGCAGGGATGTGTCCAGGAAGGAGTTGATGCTGGCGCAGCCGCCGCTCCCCGCGATCTCCAGGATCAAGCCCAGGTTCCTGCTGTGCGTTCTCCAGTCCCTCGCCACCCCGCTCAGGTCAAACACAAGGGACTTGTGGAGCTGCTCAAAGGAACGCTCCACCAGCAGCTTCTGGTCCTGTTCGGGGGCCGGCGTCCCCCGCAGAGGCAGCCGGGAGCTGCGGTAGAGCCTCAGGTCCAAGCCCTGCCCCTGGCTGGGGCTGGGGTAGGAGTTGTGGCTGAATTTGATCTCCAGCTGAGCCATGGTCAAGCGCTCGCCCTCCTCCAGCACGGAGAGGTTAAAGTACAGGCGCTTCTGCAGGCACAGCAGCCCCGGGGGCTGCCCGTGGTGAATGAAGTGGCCTGACAAAGGAGAAAGAGATGGGGAGGGGGGTTCAATCCTGCTCCTCTGAGCAGGAGCAGCTCCAGTTCGAGCTCTTGGCTGCACAGCGAGAGGAAGATGGGGCTGACAGGAGTGGGCAGCCAAACGTATTGGCTGGAGGTGATGAAGGTGCAGGAAGGGTTGGCAGCCCCATGGCACGGCCCTCAGAAAGGCCTGCAGGCACCAACGCTGGCCTGGGCTGCAGCACCAGGATGCTACAGAGCCATTCCGGCACCTCCTCTGGATGCTTCTTAACATCTTGGTGCGTGTTTTTCCCCAGCTCTAACATCTTCCCCAGGCTAGGGGGGGTGTTTGGGATGGAGGGGACAGGACAGCAAACAGCAGCAAACTTTAGGAGCTGGGAACCTGCCTGGTTCAGCCAGCCCAAGCTCTTCACTGGAAACCTGGAAGCACAAGAGGAGAGACCCAGAGGACAACTGGGTAAGGAGGAAGAGCTGAGGGGCCTCAGGAGGACAAACAGGAGGAGGGACTGAGCCAAATGGCCATAACCTGTCCCTGCCCCATGCTGGGTGCTGCTTGCACCCACATCGCAGTGCATGGAGGAGCCACGTCACCACCATGAGCCCCATGGGCCAGGTCAGCTGGGATGAAACCAGCACCACTGGGCTGCTGGAGGTGGCTCCAGGACAGAGCCTCGCACAGCTCCGCACCCTCATCCGTGGACCATTTCCAGCTGTAAATCATCACCCGCAGCATCCAGAGGGCCCAGAGCTGACACCGCAGTGCCTGGGCACTGCCCTCTCCTCCCCCAGCCTCTCCTACGTGCGCCCAAGAGACAGCCAAGGAAGGACGGACCCAAGACCTGAGCCCGGAGAAGAGCTTCCAAAAGACAGGACCCGAACCAGGGCGTTTCTGTACCTTGGTCAGCGAAGACGCGGATGATGTTGCCGGGGACGTTAAACTCCTCCACCCTACAGGCAGCTCCCAGGTCGTTGCTGGTGGAAGGCAGCGTTTTCCTGCTCTGGAAGATGCGCCACAGCACCGGGGGCACAGGAGCGTGGGTTTTGGGGCTGGGTTTGGCGCTCAAACCCAGGGATTTTAACAGCAAACGTTCCTGCAACCTCAGCTGGGAGCCCAGCGCCGCGCCGAGGAGAGCCCAGGCCAGGCCGGCCCCAAAGCTGGGGAGCAGCCACATTGCTGCGCTCCTGCCTGCAGACAAAGAGCAGCTGGGGCTGCGGACCCGGAGGCAGGGGGTGTCGATGGCCCGATTGAAGCCTTTGATGTGGTGAGTGCTCCATTAGCACGAGGGATTCCCGGGATTGGCAGAGGGTGGGAGCATCCCTCCAGGCTCCCGCGGGTCCCTTAACCCTTTGAGGCTGCTGCTCCTCCCGCAGAGCTCCTGCAATCTCCTTTATCTCCACACCAGCCGGGTCCAACAAAAGTCCTTGATGGCGGGGAAGGGGCTGCTCTTCCCCACACACCCCACCCGGTCTCCTCCTGCGCCCGCATTGTCTTCTCAATCACAGCATCCAACTCTTCTCTTAAGGCCATCGACTTCCAGCACCTTTCAACTCTTCCTTCAGCTCCCTGCCCACAAGCACAGCCCCAGGGCGGCACAAGAAGCCATCAGCACCCATCCCCAGGCGGGTCCCTGCCCCCGTCTCTCGGTGCCAGGAGGGCTGCAGGCAGCAAGCCTGCTGTCACACACACACAGATGGAGATACCAGCTGAATGCCGAAGCCGGTGCTATGAAGTCCCGTTTCTCCACACAGGAGACAAGGCATCACCTGGGACCTCAGTTCCCTTCGTTTCCTCCTTCCTGCAAATCCCACTTGAAAGCCAAGGAACTAAAGCAGAGACGGAGGCGGGTGAGGAGGGGCCGGATCCCAGAGCCTGGGCCAGGCTCCATCAGCCCAAGTCACTTTTTGCTCTCTGTTTCCCAAGGAGCTCTCTGCAGGGCTCACACGAGCCGGGAGCTGACTCAGTGCAGAGCCCAAACACGGAACAAAACCACAAGGAACTGGGATTAACGCCCTGAATCCCCCCCTCATGCTGGGAGGGAGCTGCACGTCCCAGCACAGACACAGGAGCAGCCCTGGCCCTGCAAGGGGAGAGCCATGGTGCTGCCCAGCACAGACACAGCCTCGGGCAAGGCTCAGGCCAGCCCGGCCTGGAAAACCAACAGGAGGAGCAGGAACTGTTTGTTCTTTACTTGAGCAAGCAGATGGTGCTGGGTGAGGGCCTGGACACCCCTCAGCAGGGGACCCTGCAGGACCGGGGCTGGCTTTTCGGGCAACTCTAAGACCTACATTGGCTTCTTAAGCAAACCCAAGCTCCTGACCCTCATCTGCCAGGCCGGGAGGCTGCAGTAACGCTCCAGGGCTGGGTTTCCAGGCAGACTGGCTCATGGAAGCTCTGCATTAGTGACCCCTCCTGAGGAGGAAGGCTCGGAGGTGCCCCACATCACCTCTAGTCCCTGCCCAGCAGCTAGAGAAGAGCTGGCTCCAGGCTCCCCCGGCCTGGGACGGTGCTGCCCATGCAGGAGAGGACGTTTCCCTCCCCAGCTCGATGCTGGGGCAGAGGAGCCTTCAGGGGCTGCTGAGGAAGGGCTGGTGGGAGGGTCCAACGGTAAAGACAGGGAAGATCACAAAGGGGCTGAGGACAGCCAAGGGATGGAGCGACAGAAGAAACACCAGGGGACCTAAAGCCAGCTCCAAATCCTACCTGGACCAGCAAAGCCGCAGCCTGGGCTGAACCAGCACGGGCTGGCTACAGAAAGCACACGAGCAGCAGGTGAAGCCTGGTCACAGCCAAGCCCCAGGAGGGGCCTGATCCTGTCAGTGGCGCCTCTTCCCCGGCTCCGGGCAGGGGGTGAAGGGGTGGCAGGGGTGAAGCTCTCCTCGTGCTGGGATCGAGTCCTGGGGGAGCCCCAGCTGCGGCCGCGGGTCCCTCACAACCGCTTGTCCTTCACCAGTCCATTCTTGAGGTGCAGCCTGCGGGAGAGCAGAGGGGCCGTGAGCACCAACCTGCCCCCCCCGCCTGCCCCACATCACTGCTGAGACCAGACCTGCCCCCCTGCCTGCCCCACATCACTGCTGAGACCAGACCTGCCCCCCCCGCCTGCCCCACATCACTGCTGAGACCAGACCTGCCCCCCTGCCTGCCCCACATCACTGCTGAGACCAGACCTGCCCCCCCGCCTGCCCCACATCACTGCTGAGACCAGACCTGCTCCCCCCCGCCTGCCCCACATCACTGCTGAGGCCAGACCTGCCCCCCTGCCTGCCCCACATCACTGCTGAGGCCGGACCTGCTCCCCCTGCCTGCCCCACATCACCGCTGAGGCCGGACCTGCCCCCCTGCCTGCCCCACATCACTGCTGAGACCAGATCTGCCCCCCCCCTCCTGCCCCACATCACTGCTGAGACCAGACCTGCCCCCCTGCCTGCCCCACATCACCGCTGAGGCCGGACCTGCCCCCCTGCCTGCCCCACATCACTGCTGAGACCGGCCCTGCCCTGCCAGGCTCTGCCCACCACATGAAGCAGAGATGCTGCTCAAAGACGGCAGCCTCAAGCACAGAGCCAGCCTTACACAGCGAGCAGCGGAAGGGCTGGGTGAGCACCCCCGGCACAGAAAGGAGGACAGACACCCCGCAGTGCCTGGCATGGAGATACAGAGCCCTTCCTGACACCTGCAGCAATGTTCTGTACTCTGTGTCAAGAGATCTTCTATCTTCATGCTCAGCAATGATCCCCCTGACAGCGGCTCCAGGGTCCTGGGTCTCTGCCCCCATCCCGTCCCCAGCCCACAGATGCTGTCCACGTGTCACCCCCTGCCACATACCCTTCTTTCAGAGCATTGGGCACTTGGAGTCCGGCCTCCCTCTTCTTGGCCGCCGCGGGTTTCTTGCTGTCCTCCACGTCGTACTCCCGCACATCGTTCACCTCTTGCATCTGCCCCATCAGCACCTTGGCCACAAACAGGACGATGTACTGCGGGGGAGAGACGCCGTCAGCCACAGACACCAAGGCTTAGAGCTCTTCCTCCCAACCTGCTCACTCCCATTTGCTAAGTGGGACCTTGCTCTGCTCTCCTCAAGCCCAAGAAGGGCCAGGCAGATCCCTCTGGGACGGCCAAAGCCCTGGGATGCAGCGGGAAGCAGCGCTCCTGCAGCTGCCCTTAACCTGTTCCATCCCCGCAGGACGATGGACTCGGATGTGCCCTGCTGTGCCCAGGGTTGTGCTGGGTAACAGGAGACCTCCAAGTCCACCCTTTCTGCACCCCCCCCCCAGGCTTCAGGGGACACCAGAGCATTTACACCCACATCAAGCCCCAGCCCCGCAGTGATAACTGCCCTTATCCCCCCCACACTCGGAATTCCAGCTCGGAGAAGCCCCCCAGGCACTGACCTGAGTTTCCCTCCTCCCCCCTGCAGTCCCCTGAGCTGCTCCCAAGACAGGCAGCGGGCGCCATGCAGGAGCAGCAGAGGAGGGAGAAGCCAGTGCAGGGGCTGCTGAGCTCCCCCCACTCACCAGAAACCAGTAGATGTTCATCAGAGTGAGGACAAGGAGCAGAGCATTGAAGAAGAAGTAGAAGGGGATATTAGGGACCAACTGGAGGCTGGAGTAGCAAGTGGCGTAGAGCACCTTGAGGGGGAACCAGTAGAGACGGAACCAGAACCTGCCGGGGCAGAGGGAGCAGGGTGGGTTCAACATCCCACAGGGATCCCAAGAGAGGGGAGAGACCCAGCACGGCGTCCCCAGCGCAGCCTCCTGCCTGCAGGCAGCCCTCACCCACTCCCCTTGCACCCGCAGTCCCCGCTCGTGGCCTCTGCCTTGGGTTTCCAGGTCTGGCTCCAGACAGGGCTTCACGGAGCCCCTGGGGAAGGGAGAATACAACTTCTGTGGGCACAAAAGGTCTGGCAGCAGAGGCTGGCTGGAGGCAGAGCTTTCTCAGCGCAGAGGCAGGTCCACGCCACAAATCTCCACTGGACCAGGAAGGTTTTCTTAGCCCCGTGCATCCCTAGTGAATCACTGCACACCTCTGCTGCTCTCCTTGCCTCAAACCGAGGGCTCTTCCTGCCACCCCTCAAAGAGGGAGGAAGGACACAAAGGAGGAGACAACCTGCACGTTACCCCTCTCTGTTCCTTTCTTCCCTCCTGCCTTGCCCCAGGAACAGCAAGGCTGGAACCTGGGACAGCCCCAAGTCCTGTTTCCTTCTTGAAGAAGTGTTTCTCACTGCTCACACCAAGCGAGTGGGAAAACGGCAACAGCTCCTGCTCCCCTGGGGTCATTTGTCACGCTGCAAGCCACATTTCACAGGCACTTGTGTGGTGACAGACGGCAAAGTGACTACAGAAGGATTCCAAGCCCAGCATGGGGGCAGGCTCTGCGGGAACCTCTTCCCAAGCGGTTCTCGGAAGGGCTGGTTCCCATGCATGTACCCCGAGGCACCGGGGGCACTGCAAAAGCTGGTGAGGAGGGTGGGGAGTGGGATGAGCCAGACTCACCAGCTGATGGTGAAGGTGAGGCAGCCGATGTTGGAGAGGACATCATTGAGGCGATGGTAGACACCCCCCCGGTGCTTGAAGTAGACATTGAGCTTGGTGAACTCCAGCTGGATATCGTTGACGTCGTGCAGGAAGAGCACGAGGATGCCCACGTTGTGGTACCTGCAGGAAAAAAAGAGGAGCAGGGAGATGCATGGGGCAATGGGTTCCTGTTAGCACCCAGCACCCACAGGCCAGTACACCGGGGGAAGATGGAGTCCCCAAAGGATCTGGACACCCGGCCCTGGCAGGGCGCGCGCTGCATCATGCAAGGGCTCCCAAGCGCTGCGGTACGTGCAGGCAGCGGAAGGAGGGAGGGAACCGGAGCCCATGGGAGGCAGGCGAGCACCGGCAGGCACAGCTCCTGCTGGCCGTGGGGCAGGACCTCACCTGAAGGCGTAGGAGCAGGCGATGAGGGTCAGTGCGACCACGTGGTGGAGAAGCATCACCACCGAGTCCTTGCGCCACGTGTCCATGTAGGCCGTGGCGTAGATGGAGTGCCCGTAGAAGCTGCACTGCATCAGGTAGGCGATGGCGATGTCCGTGGGCACGTCCATGCCCTTCTGCCAGCCTAGGGTGGGACAGAGGCACCCCAGTGAGCACAGAGCCTCTGCCCGCAGCAGAGACGGGCCCCAGGCAGCCCCAGCGCCTCGCTGTGCTCAGGGCCCCTCTCAGCTCATCCCAGACACAAAGGAGGCGAAGGCTGTAAAGGAACCCAGGTTATCCTGGCTCCCAAACGCTGCTTTGGCATTAGACCCGCTCTCAATCCTAGATCTAAGAGAGAAGCCCTGGAATTGCTCAAGGCCAGGTTGAAGGAGGCTTGTGGAAGGTGTCCCTGCCCGTGGCAGGGGGGTGGAATTGGATGAGCTTTGAGGTCCCTTCCCACCCAAATCAGTCTGGGATTCAATGATTTACTTTTCTC